AGTTGCTGCTTCGAAACAGCTAAAACCATTTTTTAAAGTCATTCGGGGCTGCCCTGGAAATGGAAGCTCACTGTGTACCGATCTATTGTGATGTCGATTTTGGCGTATGGGATGGAGTCCTGCAGTTTGTCCCCGTCCCAGCAGCGTAGGGTAGACTCCCTTCATTTCAAGAATTTGCGGCGGATCTTTCGGAAGAAGTCCTCGTATTACCACAGGGTTATTGCACCTTCCGACGTCCCATGTTCAAACGAGTATCTCACAACGCTGGCTAATCGATTTTTGGTGCTACCCACACCCTCGCAGCAATTCTCATTTAATCGGTTGAAATTGTTTGGACACATTCTGCGACACCCGGACAGTTTTGAAAATACATCAACTTTCATGTCCTCTAAAGCATATCGTTTTCTCCGTGGCGGAAATCGGTCCGGCAGGCCCACTCCGCATTGGGCGGAGGTTTCCATGGCAGAGGCGTATCTACGACTGCAGCGTAGCAGCGGCGAAAGACCCGATATCACAAACATCCATGATTCTTATTGGAAATCTCTCTCTTCGCGAGATGTAAGACAGTGTCACTCTGCCGACAGGTTGCCGATGATGGACAATACTCGCTTGTATCGCAGAATCAACCCCGTAGCTCAAGATCGAAGTTCATGGCAAACGCTTCTTACACGACCTCCGAAAAAACGTTCCGCTCAAAACTGCTGAGGTTTGATGGGCGTAGCTGTTTGACGCAACGCCTTGCACAATGAAAAAAATGTATGTAGATGTTTGTGTGTGTGTGTGTGTGGTGATATGTGGTGTTGACCCTGACATTAAGTAACACGTTTGCGCTCTCAGGAGACCGTAAGCCCAGTTTAAGCATTTCCGCGAAACCCTATAAACCTTAAGCCTTAACCTAGACCCCCTCAACTAATTTCCCTTTATTGTAGCCCCTAATTACATCTTACTGAGAAATATAGTAGAGCCCTTTAAAGGGTACTTGGGAGCTCCCTGGTAAGCCCTAAACCCTAAACCCTTCCTTTTTATGTAAACCTTTCCATGAAGCCCAGGCTACATTCCTGGTGTTTGGTGAGCGGCTTGCTGAGTCCACAGTAGAACGCAGGGGGCTTGGAGGAATGCGGTTCAATGAGTTCTATAATGGTTTAGGGTTTAGGGGTGTAGGGTAGTTCTATATGAAAAAATCTTTTGTGGTCGTTCATGGTCGTTGATAAGGGTCCTGTAAGCCGGTAAGGGTTCTATACAGAGTCTGGAGATGTATTCAGCCGAGATTTGTTTCCTGTCGCTCTTTCCTGAAGTCCCTTTGTTCTACGCAGCCGGAAGCCAAGCGGGACCGAGAACAGTTCTAGGCGCGCGAAGGCTCACGGTTTTCCAATCATTTGGAGGATTCCTAAACCATCCTAAACCCTAAACCCTAAACCCTAAACCATCCTAAACCCTAAACCCTAAACCATCCTAAACCCTAAACCCTAAACCCTAAACCATCCTAAACCCTAAATGTCACTACACCCTGAACTCCTTCTTAAACCTCTAAAACTCTTTGACTACAAAGAGCCCTAAGCTGAAGCCCTAGTTAACTTAATTAGGCGTTCCTGGTTTAGGGTTTAGGGTTTAGGGTCCTTATCTGTTGTGGCACATGGGGGGGGATAACTGCGCCGACCTTTTTGCTGTTTTTTGCGGGTTGGGGGGTGTTGGGGGTGGGGGTGGGGTGTGACGGCTTTCTGTGTCTCAAGATAGACTATGCTACTCTTCCTGTTGAACTATTCATGGTGATGTTTGAATGGTGGTGGATGACATCGATTCTGTCGCGCCTGCCACAGGAAACAGGACGGATTTCCCTCTTGGATGTGTTGAAGGCATGTTTTTCTTGTGACCTTTATCATTCCATACCATGCCAAATCACGTCATCACATGCCGTTTCACGTCATGGTATACCATGTCATGTCATATCATGTCATGTTCATCTCCTACCATTTCGGCTCATGACATGGCACAGGACGGGTTGCTGCAGTGGATTCTCAATCCTATGTTAAACCGTGTTTCGTGTGACAGGCCTGGCACTTTCGGTATGTTCGCCAGTGCTACTTTCAGTCTACTATTTACCTAACAGCCTCACCAGGCCGTAAGTGCGACTAGCGCGTCCAAAACTGGAGTTGTGAGGAGTGTTTAGGGTTCAGGGTTACATGCCCTCAACAAATCCAAGACGAAGCCTTTTTCCTGTGGCAGGCGCGGTAGAATCGTTGTAAACGTCCTTGTTGAAGGGTGCCTTTATTCCCTCCATGCGGCTGTTTCGGGACGCTTCTAGTAAGATATACAGGTGCTAAAATAGGGGCCTTAATAACTAGAATAGGGTTTAGGACATATTTTACTAGAATTATAATAAGGAGCCCCCAAAACCCTATTCTAATTTATTAAGGCCCCCACATTACCCTAAGGGTCCATGTACCCAAGTAGTATATACCTTGGCCCCAAAGTACTTTAAAGCCAAAGTATATACTATCTGGGTACATGGACCCTTAGGGGTTACTGTGTGTGTCGAGTTCCCTAAACTCATCGAAGCTCCAACCCTAAACCCTAAACCCTAAACCCTAAACCCTAAACCCTAAACCCTAAACCCTAAACCCCTAAGTACGTAGGA